GCACTTTTTGCTATTTTGTCTTCGAGAAAACAACATGTGTTTATTCTGGCTTTTTGTTTTTTGTCTGAATATTGGACAATTTATATATGAATATATTTCAGTGGGTGTTTTCTCTTAACCCCACACCGTTTACTTTAAGCTCAAACCACACAAAAGTATCTTAGAAACTAGATTATATACTAGACTATAGACTAGACAATAGACTAGTCTATAGACTAGACTATAGACTAGACTATAGACTAGACAATAGACTAGACTATAGACTAGACTATAGACTAGACTATAGACTAGACTATAGACTAGACTATAGACTAGACTATAGACTAGACTATAGACTAGGCTATAGACTAGACTAGACTATAGGCTAGACTATAGACTAGACTATAGACTAGACTATAGACTAGACTATAGACTAGACTATAGACTAGACTATAGACTAGACTATAGACTAGACTATAGACTAGACTATAGACTAGACTATAGACTAGACTATAGACTAGACTATAGACTAGACTATAGACTAGACTATAGACTAGACTATAGACTAGACTATAGACTAGACTATAGACTAGACTATAGACTAGACTATAGACTAGACTATAGACTAGACTATAGACTAGACTATAGACTAGACTATAGACTAGACTATAGACTAGACTATAGACTAGACTATAGACTAGACTATAGACTAGACTATAGACTAGACTATAGACTAGACTATAGACTAGACTATAGACTAGACTATAGACTAGACTATAGACTAGACTATAGACTAGACTATAGACTAGACTATAGACTAGACTATAGACTAGACTATAGACTAGACTATAGACTAGACTATAGACTAGACTATAGACTAGACTATAGACTAGACTATAGACTAGACTATAGACTAGACTATAGACTAGACTATAGACTAGACTATAGACTAGACTATAGACTAGACTATAGACTAGACTATAGACTAGACTATAGACTAGACTATAGACTAGACTATAGACTAGACTATAGACTAGACTATAGACTAGACTATAGACTAGACTATAGACTAGACTATAGACTAGACTATAGACTAGACTATAGACTAGACTATAGACTAGACTATAGACTAGACTATAGACTAGACTATAGACTAGACTATAGACTAGACTATAGACTAGACTATAGACTAGACTATAGACTAGACTATAGACTAGACTAGAGGCTAGACTAGACTATAGACTAGACTATAGACTAGACTATAGACTAGACTATAGACTAGACTATAGACTAGACTATAGACTAGACTATAGACTAGACTATAGACTAGACTATAGGCTAGCCTAGACTATAGACTAGACTATAGACTTGACTATAGACTAGTCTATAGACTAGACTATAGACTAGACTATAGACTAGACTATAGACTAGACTATAGACTAGACTATAGACTAGACTATAGACTAGACTATAGACTAGACTATAGACTAGACTATAGACTAGACTATAGACTAGACTATAGACTAGACTATAGACTAGACTATAGACTAGACTATAGACTAGACTATAGACTAGACTATAGACTAGACTATAGACTAGACTATAGACAAGACTAGACTATAGACAAGACTAGACTATAGACTAGACTATAGACTAGACTATAGACTAGACTATAGACTAGACTATAGACTAGAATATAGACTAGACTATAGACTAGACTATAGACTAGACTATAGACTAGGCCATAGACTAGACTATAGACTAGACTATAGACTAGACTATAGACTAGACTATAGACTAGACTATAGACTAGACTATAGACTATAGACTAGACTATAGACTAGACTATAGACTATAGACTAGACTATAGACTAGACTATAGACTAGACTATAGACTAGACTATAGACTAGACTATAGACTAGACTATAGACTAGACTATAGACTAGACTATAGACTAGACTAGACTATAGACTAGACTATAGACTAGACTATAGACTAGACTATAGGCTAGACTATAGACTAGACTATAGACTAGACTATAGAATATAATATTTTATAGTTGTATTTTTAAATTATTTGTTTCTGTATAATCAAAGTCCCAAATACTCTTTTGGAAACAGTGTAGTCCTCTAGCAAATTCTTGTACATTACATGTGTACTCATAGAAAATGAAATGTTAACCCTTTGCGAACAAGGAAAAAACTAAAAACTAACATAGAAAACATAAACTTTTTGAAATTGAAAATCTTAGATAACATTTCGTTTTTGTTTTTCTTTTTAGTTTCAATTCAAAAACTTTGACTTGCGTAATTTTTAAACTCTTCAAATATATTTGCTTTTATATAGAAAAACAAACATATACATACATACATGTTAATAAAAAGAATGTGTGGGAGGAATGGAAACCCAATAATTTTAGTAAGAAACGATAAAGCCCTTTCGTAGAAAAAGGTACTTAGATGAGCCTAATGCTAATATGTTCGGATTATTAGAGGGAATAGTGAAATCAATAAACTACTTTAAATCTTGCAATAAATCGTAAGTGTTATCAATCATCCATTTGTGTCCTCGAATCTGCAGGGTATGTAATAATATCAATAGTAGTGTTATAAGCTTTGTATATAAAAATAAAATTTAGGTCATATTTGTAAGATGGTTTCATTAGATTAACACTTTTTTCTATTTTACAACAATTTAAATATAGCAAAGTTTTTCATATAAAACAATTTTGTTTGTGTATGATGAGCAGGAGGCATACAAGTGAATTGAAATGAATTGAATGATGAAAGTGCTGATGAGTAGTAGTTCTCAGTCGAAGGATGAGTTGATAATGCTGATGATTATGATATACAACGTACGATAAGTTATATTTATTTTACTCAAGGGCCTATTATACAATGTATATACATATTTGCAAAACAAAAAAACCTTGTAATCAACATACTTATGTTTATATATAAGTGCTTTCCTAATGTATACATTTCATTTTTATTCGAGGACTCTATTATGTTAACAAGTAAAAGTGTATATACTTGCTCATAGATCAATATTTATTCATGTATATAGTACATATTTAAAAGTTATTAGCCCAAGAGTGCGTTAAATAAACACTCTAAAGAAAATCTATATTATTTCAGCTAATAATGTTGTTTTAGGGACATGTCTGACGTAAATGTATTACAGTTATACATAGCATATACATACATATGTACAAATTATATGTACATAATTTTTAAGATATTTTATCACTTAAAAACATTCATACAAAAAATCCTCTTCATGCATTTATAGTGCTGTGTCCTTAAAAGCCATAAGTGATTGATGAATGAAACATCTTAAGCTGAATATTTATACTTTATATAGATATGAAGCAAATATTTTAGAAATCAATTACTTTCAGATTGCATTAAAACTTAAGGTTATATTTATACCCTACACCACTTTAGTGGGGAGGGTATATTGGGTTTGTGCTGATGTTTGTAACGCACAATAATATTGGTCCTATACCCACCTTAAAGTATACCAATCGGCTCAGAATCATTTTCTGAATCGATTTAGCTATGTCCGTCCGTCTGTCCGTCCGTCTGTCCGTCCGTCTGTCCGTCCGTCTGTCCGTCCGTCCGTCCATGTAAACCTTGTAATCAAACTACAGGTCGCAATTTTGAAGATAATTCAATGAAATTTGGTACATGATCTTATATTGTCCCAGGGACGAAGCCTATTGAAAATAGTTAACATCGGTCCATTATTTCACCTAGCCCCCATACAACTGAACCCCTCGAATAGGGCTTTTAAAACTTGTAATTAAGCTACAGGTCGCAATTTTGGAGATAATTCAATGAAATTTGGCACATGATCTTTTATGGTACCGTAGATGAAGCCTGTTGAAAATGGCTGACATCGGTCCATTATTTCACCTAGCCCCCATACAACTGAACCCCTCGAATTGGGCTTTTAAAACTTGTAATCAAACTACAGGTCGCAATTTTGGAGATAATTCAATGAAATTTGGCACATGATCTTTTATGATACCATAGACGAAGCCTATTGAAAATGGTTACCATCGGTCCATTATTTCACCTAGCCCCCATACAACTGAACCCCCGAATAGGGCTTTTAAAACTTGTAATCAAACTACAGGTCGCAATTTTGGAGATACTTCAATGAAATTTGGCACATGATCTTTTATAGTACCGTAGATGAAGCCTGTTGAAAATGGTTTACATCGGTCCATTATTTCACCTAGCCCCCATACAACTGAACCCGCCGAAAAGGGCTTTTAAGTTCATAATTATGTTTAATATACTCATATCTCGACAAAAAGCTGCAATATACAAGTTGTATACAAGAGTTGATGACCCCCACGAATTCCATAATAATAGGTTCTTATATGACCCTAGCCCCTATGAAAAGCCCCCATCAAAATTTCACTTAAATGTTCACAATTTTATTCAACAATAAACGGCTTAAGTATGTATATCTAAGGCAAGGTACAATTCAACTTAAATGCTTTATTATGGCAACTAAATCACATTATATTTTTGTCAAAAGTGTAGGGTATTATATGGTCGGCCTCGCCCGACTATAATTTCTTACTTGTTTTTAGATTATTTTTATAAACTGTAGCCCAATCTATAGACTAGATAGGCTAGCGTAGGCTAGAGTCCAGATTAGTTTCTGTAGTCCAGAGTGTAGGCAACAGTGCAGAATCTAAAGCTCAGAATATATTATAATCTAGACTATAGTTTATTATCCAGACTGTAGCCAATAATCCAGACTGTATTCTATAGTCCATACTGCAACCTATAGTCCACACTACAGCGATACTGTACTCTATAATCCAGACTATAATCTATAGTCTGAGATTATAGTCAAGAGTCGGACTCTAATTATAGTCCAAATTAGAGTCTATAAACCTGGCTTTATATTACAGTCCAGACTATAATACGTCTATACGTATCCCTAGACAATAAAAATTGGACGAAAAATAGCAAACTTCAGTAAAAAAACTTTTGGCACTTATATATATTTCTAGACAGTTGTTCGTTAACATTTTTACCCAACTTGTTTGGTAATTTTTCCCTCAAAATATATCTCATGTTCTTTAGATGTAACATAAAATATAAATGGATGTTTTACTATAAGTTTTGGAAGTTTAGCAACAAGTTGTGCGTCTTCACCTATAACAAAAAATAAAGTACAAAAATGAACAGTTGTATCAAAAAGTATAATAATCTTACTGATAGGATGTTTAACTCCTTCACTGTTTTCATCCATAACAAAGGAAGCTGCTGATAAGATTTTCATAACTTTTACCGGAACTCCTTCTATATGATTACACATATCATTAAACATTTGCCGCATGCCCATCTATAAAAAAAATAAATATTTAACAGAACTGAGATTGAGAAATAAGAAATAACTTACAGATTTTAATGTTTGCTTTAACGGTACTTGTGCTCTCAATTCGATTTTTGGCAGTATCAAAATTAGTTTAGTATTTTTTAAATATGTTTTAATAACGCTGAAAGGAAATTTTCGTAAGTTTTTTTCTACTTCAAGTATACCTTTTTCGGATTTAAAAGGATATATAATATACAACAAAGTGTCTTCATCACTGGTAGGCACTTCAACGACTGTAGCTTTTAAAGGGCCAATGACTCCAAAGCGCAATATTGCTATCTGTTGTAACGATGTCATTGTTCTTCCATTCCCATTAATATCGACGAAACGTAATGCTTCACCTATGGAAACCTCATAATGAAATTTATTCTGATAATTAGCATACGAAAACAGATGTATTTCCGGTTTTTCGTTAGCTACTGCTACCTGTATAGCTTTATAGCATACATGAAAACTTCTCCATTGATCGATAATTTCACCTATCGTCATGTTACTACCTATATGTTCTTGTCCATTTATACGTATTGATACATGATTTGATGTAGAAATTAAGGAGTTATTGTTCATTTTGTCATATACAATTGTATAAGTTTCTACTATTTTTTCAATAGGTTCATGTATCAACTCCAAAGCTTCACCTATTTCTAATGCACTTAGTGGATTACCATCATAGCGTAGTAAAACTAATCCAGCAGCTAAGGGCAAAGGCGACAGCACACGATTTCTTTGGGAATCACGGCTGCTTAGTTTTTGAAATAAATGTTTGCTGAAGTCTCTCAAACCAGACATTACAGTCGCTTTTAACAACGGAAAAGTCATGAGGAAAATTACAATTAGATATCGGAAATGGGTGAGTCCTATAAAAGAAAAATAAAAAAAATTAAATGTCCAAAATCTTTGTTATAAGATGGAATACTTCTGTTCTTATATTTTGTTTTCATTTTTACCAAGATTGTTCCACTTTTTAAATATGACTTTGACTTCATCAAACTGAAACAGCTAATTAAATGATCTCTTAAATATATGTTAAAAATGCAACTTGTGAAAATTGGACAGCGTATCAATAGTGTTACTAATTATTGCTATAATATTTATATTATTTAGCATGTTGTGTCAGCTTTAAAATACATATAATTTGAAACAAACCAGAACTGACCGAAAACTGAAAAAGAACTGAACTGGAACTGAACTAGAACTGGACTAGAACTGAACTAGAACTGAACTAAAACTGAACTAGAACTGAACTAGAACTGAACTAGAACTGAACTAGAACTGAACTAGAACTGAACTAGAACTGAACTAGAACTGACTAGAACTGAACTAGAACTGAACTAGAACTGAACTAGAACTGAACTAGAACTGAACTAGAACTGAACTAGAACTGAACTAGAACTGAACTAGAACTGAACTAGAACTGAACTAGAACTGAACTAGAACTGAACTAGAACTGAACTAGAACTGAACTAGAACTGAACTAGAACTGAACTAGAACTGAACTAGAACTGAACTAGAACTGAACTAGAACTGAACTAGAACTGAACTAGAACTGAACTAACTGAACTAGAACTGAACTAGAACTGAACTAGAACTGAACTAGAACTGAACTAGAACTGAACTAGAACTGAACTAGAACTGAACTAGAACTGAACTAGAACTGAACTAGAACTGAACTAGAACTGAACTAGAACTGAACTAGAAACTGAACTAGAACTGAACTAGAACTGAACTAGAACTGAACTAGAACTGAACTAGAACTGAACTAGAACTGAACTAGAACTGAACTAGAACTGAACTGAACTAGAACTGAACTAGAACTGAACTAGAACTGAACTAGAACTGAACTAGAACTGAACTAGAACTGAACTAGAACTGAACTAGAACTGAACTAGAACTGAACTAGAACTGAACTAGAACTTAGAACTGAACTAGAACTGAACTAGAACTGAACTAGAACTGAACTAGAACTGAACTAGAACTGAACTAGAACTGAACTAGAACTGAACTAGAACTGAACTAGAACTGAACTAGAACTGAACTAGAACTGAACTAGAACTGAACTAGAACTGAACTAGAACTAGAACTGAACTAGAACTGACTAGAACTGACAGAACTGAACTAGAACTGACTAGAACTGAACTAACTGAACTAGAACTGAACTAGAACTGAACTAGAACTGAACGAGAACCTAGAGAACTGAATTAAAACTAGAACTGAATTAGAACTAGAACTGAACTAGAACTAGAACTGAGCTAGAATTGAACTAAAACTTAACGGGAAATGAACTAGAACTCAACGAGAAATGAACAACGACTGGACTTGTCTATAGTCCGATACTGTACTCTATATTCCAGACTAAAATATATAGTCTGAGAATCTATTCAACAGTCTATAGCCCAGACTATAGGCTGCAGTTCGGAATCTAGTTTATAGCCCAAACTAGAGTATATAGTCCAGGCTATATATTACAGTCCAGACTATATTTTATAGTCTATCCAATATATCTGTGAGTTATAGTCTATTAAGTATCCCTAGACAATAAAAAATGGACGCAAAATAGCAAATTTCAAAAAAAAAAAACTTTGACACTTATATATATATTTCTAGACAGTTTTTCGGTAAAATTTTTACCCTTATCTGGTAATTTTTCCCTCAAAATATATATCATGTTCTTTAGATGTTACATAAAATATAAATGGATGTTTTACCATAAGTTTTGGAAGTTTAGCAACAATTTGTGCGTCTTCACCTATAACAAAAAAAAAAATAGTACAAAATTGAACAGTTGTATCAAAAAGTATAATAATCTTACTGATAGGATGTTTAACTCCTTCACTGTTTTCATCGATAGTAAAGGAAACTGATGATATGATTTTCCTAACTTTTATAGGAAGTCCGTCTATATGATAACACATATCAATAAACATTTGACGCATGCCCAACTATAAAAAACAAAGCTAGTTGATTAAGAGAATTAAAATTGAGAAATAAGAAATAGCTTACAGATCTTAATGTTTTCTTTAACGGTACTTGTGCTTTCAATTCGATTTTTGGCAGTGTCAAAATAAGTCTTTTCTTTTTTAAATATGTTTTAATAACGCTGAAAGGAAATTTTCGTAATTTTTTTTCTACTTTTAGTATACCTTTTTCAGATTTAAAGGGATATATAATATACAACAAAGTGTCTTCATCACTGGTAGGAACTTCAACGACGGTAGCTTTTAAAGGGTCAATGACTGCAAAGCGAAATACTGCTATTTGTTGTAACGATGTCATTGTTCTTCCATTCCCATTAATATCAACGAAACGTAATCCTTCACCTATGGAAACATGATAATGAAATTTATTCTGATATTTGGCATACGAAAACAGATGTATTCCCGGTTTTTCGTTAGCTACTGCTAACTGCATAGCTTTATAGCAGATATGAAAAGTGCTCCATTGATTGATAATTTCACCTACCGTCATGTTACTACCTATATGTTCTTGTCCATTTATACGTATTGATACATGATTTGATACAGAAATTGAGGGATTAAAGTTAATTTTTTCATCTATATCTGCATAAGGTTCTATAATTTTTTCAATAGGTTGATGTATCAATTCCAAAGCTTCACCTATTTCTAAAGCACTTAGTGCATTAGCATCATAGCGTAGTAATACTAATAGAGAAGCTAATGGCATTGGCGATAGTACACGGTTTCTTTCGGGATCACGGGTTCTTAGTTTTCGAAATATATGATTGCCGAATTCTCTCAAACCTGACTTTACAGTTGCTTTTATCACTGGAAAAGTTAGGAGGAAAATTACGATTATATATCGGAAATGGGTGAGTTCTATAAAAGAAAAAGAAAAAAATTAAATGTCCAAAATCTTTGTAATAAGATGGAATACCTTTGTTCTTATATTTTCTTTTCATTTTAACTAAGATTGTTCCACTTTTCAAATATGGTACTAACTTCATCAAACTGAAACCGAGAATTAAATGATGTTACAAATGCAACTTCTGAAAATTGGACAGCGAATCAATAGTGTTACTAATTATTGCTATAATACATACATATATTATTTAACATGTTGTGTCAGCTTTAAATACATACATATAATTTGAAAAAACCAGAACTGATCGAAAATTGAACTAGAACTGAACTAGAACTGAACTAGAACTGAACTAGAACTGAACTAGAACTGAACTAGAACTGAACTAGAACTGAACTAGAACTGAACTAGAACTGAACTAGAACTGAACTAGAACTGAACTAGAACTGAACTAGAACTGAACTAGAACTGAACTAGAACTGAACTAGAACTGAACTAGAACTGAACTAGAACTGAACTAGAACTGAACTAGAACTGAACTAGAACTGAACTAGAACTGAACTAGAACTGAACTAGAACTGAACTAGAACTGAACTAGAACTGAACTAGAACTGAACTAGAACTGAACTAGAACTGAACTAGAACTGAACTAGAACTGAACTAGAACTGAACTAGAACTGAACTAGAACTGAACTAGAACTGAACTAGAACTGAACTAGAACTGAACTAGAACTGAACTAGAACTGAACTAGAACTGACTAGAACTGAACTAGAACTGAACTAGAACTGAACTAGAACTGAACTAGAACTGAACTAGAACTGAACTAGAACTGAACTAGAACTGAACTAGAACTGAACTAGAACTGAACTAGAACTGAACTAGAACTGAACTAGAACTGAACTAGAACTGAACTAGAACTGAACTAGAACTGAACTAGAACTGAACTAGAACTGAACTAGAACTGAACTAGAACTGAACTAGAACTGAACTAGAACTGAACTAGAACTGAACTAGAACTGAACTAGAACTGAACTGAACTAGAACTGAACTAGAACTGAACTAGAACTGAACTAGAACTGAACTAGAACTGAACTAGAACTGAACTAGAACTGAACTAGAACTGAACTAGAACTGAACTAGAACTGAACTAGAACTGAACTAGAACTGAACTAGAACTGAACTAGAACTGAACTAGAACTGAACTAGAACTGAACTAGAACTGAACTAGAACTGAACTAGAACTGAACTAGAACTGAACTAGAACTGAACTAGAACTGAACTAGAACTGAACTAGAATTGAACTAGAACTGAACTACAACTGAACTAGTTATAAAATTAATCTAATGGAAATATTTTCTATAATTTATTTTAAAGTCCACATATTTCCCTTTCATAGAAAGCTTTTTCTTAAGAAAACAAAGGAGCTATTCCTAAAAAACATAAAATCAAAAAAACTAATTACAATAAAAGTATCTGTCTGCGTATTAATACAAAATATCAAAGACAGCAGACATAACCATGAAAACCATTATAAGTTTGAAAATACTACTTATGTTTAATATTAAATTTTATAAAAATAGAATGAAACCGCTCATGGAAGAAGAAAGCATTCACAGGAAATCAACAACAAACAAAGGAATAACAACAGCAATTTGACACAAAATAAAAATGACAGCTCGACATGGTGGAAATAGTCAGTGAAAAACAAAAAATATTATTCATTAGATGAACAGAAATGAAATAAACATTCATTTCTGTCTAAAAATAAAATTTATAAAAACAAAAACAGATAAAGGAAGTTGGGTATATCTTCTGCTGCAGTCTGAAAAAACTTCCTTCCTAGTTAAGATACTTGGCAGAAGGCCGCAGTAGGGGATCATAAATGTAAAAGTAGTTGGAGCACTAGGAGTTGGGGGTATCATGTCTGCTCTATGACTTTTGCTTCAGTGATGCTTATGAGGAGCGGTAGGAAGCTGGTGATGATGATGACGTGCTTGTTATACAAAAATTAACTATTACAATGACTATCGTCCTGTCTAATGCCATCACTACAGCCATATTTCCCTTTTTTCAAAACTTATTCAAAATATCCTTTGTCAGTTTTGCCCGTCTAAAAATAAAGTCACATCAACACCTTAAGCTCATTTATCATTTTCAGCGTTCTAGTTTTTCTGAAAAGAATACGTGTCAGTAGAAATGGCTTAAAGTTTATTTCTTCTTTGTATGTTTTTATTCGCTCCATTTTGCAATTGTTTGTGCCGTTTCTCAAGAATTTCCTATAGAGAAGCGTGTGCCTTCATTTCTAACTTTATTGTTTGATTGTTATTGTTGTTGTTTTTTGTTAAGCTTACTACGTCAAAAAGTAATTAATCATAGCTTTAAGTATGTTGAAAATTGCAAGGTTATTTTCTTAATTTACGTTTTAGATTGTTAATGTTTCTTTTCCTGTTCAAATTTATACAATAAACTTTTTTATTTATTTATTTCAATAAACAGTTTTCCGTTAGAGAGATATTTAAGTAGTAAATAAATTTTAAATGAACGTTTAGGTTGTTATTTTAAAATTTGTTGTAAATAATTGTTCTGTAGAATAATATTTGTGGGTAGAAAAATATGTCCATAGACGACTATCGATATTAGAGTGTCAGATTCGAAAAGAACTATAACAAAACTCAAATAGAATTAGAATTGAAATAGAAATGAACAATTGTCGTTTTTAAAGTTATATTTAAAACTAAAAATATAATAAACCGAACAGCGTATCAAGAGTGTGACTAATTTACTGATTTACAATTACACAGTATTAACACACTTAAACCGTTCTGTCAGCATCTACATTCTTTTCAGAACTAACTGTCCATTTCAGTTCTACTTCAGTTCTAGTTCAGTTCTAGTTCAGTTCTAGTTCAGTTCTAGTTCAGTTCTAGTTCAGTTCTAGTTCAGTTCTAGTTCAGTTCTAGTTCAGTTCTAGTTCAGTTCTAGTTCAGTTCTAGTTCAGTTCTAGTTCAGTTCTAGTTCAGTTCTAGTTCAGTTCTAGTTCAGTTCTAGTTCAGTGCTAGTTCAGTTCTAGTTCAGTTCTAGTTCAGTTCTAGTTCAGTTCTAGTTCAGTTCTAGTTCAGTTCTAGTTCAGTTCTAGTTCAGTTCTAGTTCAGTTCTAGTTCGTTTCTAGTTCAGTTCTAGTTCAGTTCTAGTTCAGTTCTAGTTCAGTTCTAGTTCAGTTCTAGTTCAGTTCTAGTTCAGTTCTAGTTCAGTTCTAGTTCAGTGTCAGTTCTAGTTCAGTTCTAGTTCAGTTCTAGTTCAGTTCTAGTCAGTTCTAGTTCAGTTCTAGTTCAGTTCTAGTTCAGTTCTAGTTCAGTTCTAGTTCAGTTTCTAGTTCAGTTCTAGTTCAGTTCTAGTTCAGTTCTAGTTCAGTTCTAGTTCAGTTCTAGTTCAGTTCTAGTTCAGTTCTAGTTCAGTTCTAGTTCAGTTCTAGTTCAGTTCTAGTTCAGTTCTAGTTCAGTTCTAGTTCAGTTCTAGTTCAGTTCTAGTTCAGTTCTAGTTCAGTTCTAGTTCAGTTCTAGTTCAGTTCTAGTTCAGTTCTAGTTCAGTTCTAGTCATTCTAGTTCAGTTCTAGTTCAGTTCTAGTTCAGTTCTAGTTCAGTTCTAGTTCAGTTCTAGTTCAGTTCTAGTTCAGTTCTAGTTCAGTTCTAGTTCAGTTCTAGTTCAGTTCTAGTTCAGTTCTAGTTCAGTTCTAGTTCAGTTCTAGTTCAGTTCTAGTTTAGTTCTAGTTAGTTCTAGTTTAGTTCTAGTACAGTTCTAGTTCAGTTCTAGTTCAGTTCTAGTTCAGTTCTAGTTCAGTTCTAGTTCAGTTCTAGTTCAGTTCTAGCTCAGTTCTAGTTCAGTTCTAGTTCAGTTCTTTCTAGTTCAGTTCTAGTTCAGTTCTAGTTCAGTTCTAGTTCAGTTTAGTTCAGTTTAGTTCAGTTCTAGTTCAGTTCTAGTTCAGTTCTAGTTCAGTTCTAGTTCAGTTCTATAGTTCAGTTCTAGTTCAGTTCTAGTTCAGTTCTAGTTCAGTTCTAGTTCAGTTCTAGTTCAGTTCTAGTTCAGTTCTAGTTCAGTTCTAGTTCAGTTCTAGTTCAGTTCTAGTTCAGTTCTAGTTCAGTTCTAGTTCAGTTCTAGTTCAGTTATAGTTCAGTTCTAGTTCAGTTCTAGTTCAGTTCTAGTTCAGTTCTAGTTCAGTTCTAGTTCAGTTCTAGTTCAGTTCTAGTTCAGTTCTAGTTCAGTTCTAGTTCAGTTCTAGTTCAGTTCTAGTTCAGTTCTAGTTCAGTTCTAGTTCAGTTCTAGTTCAGTTCTAGTTCAGTTCTAGTTCAGTTCTAGTTCAGTTCTAGTTCAGTTCTAGTTCAGTTCTAGTTCAGTTCTAGTTCAGTTCTAGTTCAGTTCTAGTTCAGTTCTAGTTCAGTTCTAGTTCAGTTCTAGTTCAGTTCTAGTTCAGTTCTAGTTCAGTTCTAGTTCAGTTCTAGTTCAGTTCTAGTTCAGTTCTAGTTCAGTTCTAGTTCAGTTCTAGTTCAGTTCTAGTTCTAGTTCTGTTCGATATTGATTTATTCTACATTATTTTGCTTAGTTTTCTTGCCTCAGACATTGAATTCTTCACTTGCAAGAAATGAAACGATTAATTATATTTACGTTTGTAAATAAAATTATAAAAAAGCAACTCTTTCACAATTGGAGATGCCGGGGTTTGAACCCGGGACTTCTCACATGCGAAGCGAGCGCTCTACCACTGAGCTACATCCCCACATTATTTTGAAGGGATCAAACATAATGAATGTAAGATCAAGCAATTATCTAAATCCTGGAAAGCAGCAAATTAATAAGATTCAAGGACTATAGAGCACCATGCGTATATTTCTCACGAAATTATTTTTTTCTTTACTTTTTCCACTTGTTTTGCGTTGAAATTTCATTTTGTATAATTTTAAAAATAATACTTTTTCCACAGGATGCCATTAAAAACACAATATTTATATTGCTCTTTCAATTTTATAAAAATTATGATTACTTTTGCCACATAAAATTTCATTGTAAAATTTATGATTATTATTGAACTATAAAAATATTGCCATTTAAAAGTTTTTCAGTTTTCTTATTAAAGCAAATTTTTTGCTATTTGTGCAAATAAAACTGTAACACTCACATAAAAAACTGAAAAAAAGCAATAA